ATTTTATTTATATAATTAAATCGATTTTTTTTGTTTGTTTTATCTGAGTGTTCCAGGGTATTCTCTGAATACCTTGAAGGCCCTGACGGTTCTCCACTGTGAATAATACATATAGTCAACCTATATCTCTGATGCCAACTAGCGAGGGTAGCGTCGACTAATCCTGCACATCCCTAATATCCTATATTTTATACACAAAGTTGTGCATTTGAGTCTCGTCTAATGTTCTCAATACCGGTTTGAGGCTCTCTCTTTTCTAGTGTTGCTTCTTTAATTGCATATTTTCTTTATCAATGAGCGATGGAGAACAGACCTGGCCGTCTCTTTATCTGCTTGTCATCATGTCAGTCATAATGAGGAAAGTTTGTTATTATCACCAGCAGACCTCCCTCTGAGCTGCTTCGAAGAACTCTGATGACAGAAGGGATCTGAGATGTAAAAACTGAAATGCTTCCGTGCTTTTATCGCACCGCGTCGCTCTGACCTGCGTGGTCGGTCTGTGATCTTCATGTGAGGGGAAGCCAGGTACAACGCTGTGATTTTTGATGTATCCCTTTCAGAATTGAGACAGAACCTTTTAAAGGTGTAAAGGCCATTTCATGTTGCAGCTTAAAGGGTGCTTCAGCAGGAAATGGCTTTCTGAGCTGTGCTGAAAGCTGAGGGAGGCAGCTGGGAAAAGAGAGGCAGAGTGGATGTTTAATATAATTGAGGTAACTGAATGCCACAAACAGTCAGTGCACTTGTAGCCTTGAAGACTATGTTTACAGTGGAAAACCAATGAGTAAGTGAACAACTTTGGCTATACTTCGACCAAGATGCAGACTTTTAATAATCATATTTAGGGGAGCTTGGTGTTCGCGGGGTCTTAAAAAGTATTAAAAGTTGATAAATCAATTTAGCGAAAATGAATGCTATTTAAAAAGTGTGAAACGGCATTTTCCAAGGTTTTACATTCTGTATCTTGTTTTCAATAAGTATATAAATGGTCCAAAGAGGTTGTATTCTACAGTCTGCCTGAATGTAATCATTGCGTAGGTGTGTAGTGTGATTCTGTGTAGTTTATTGATGGCATCCCGTTGGGTTTGACGTCATCTGAACAGGACATCGCACGCTCACTGCTTGATAGCGCGAAGCTCCGTTTACGCCGGTTGCTAAGCAACATCGTTATGGGGAAATGCAAGTCTGCGTCCAAATGGTTGGAAGATAAGGAGGAAGGACAATCAATACTGTATATAGTCAATGTGAGGTAAAGTGTGTCGCCAAGGTAACAGGTTAGAACTCCAAGTGGCCATGAGGTCTTAGAATGTATGGAAAGGGTCTTAAAAAAGGTCTTAAAAGGTCTTATATCTGACTTCAGGATTCCTGCATATACCCTGTTCTACATAGCGGTTTAAATATAAGTTAGAGACTTACATACAACAAAACTTTTCCCAGTTTGTTGTAGATTAAAATGCCCAGAGCCAAGCTTATCCAACACCTTTGTAATGTGTTGGACGTCACTAAAGCTCTTGTGGATTCAAACTGAGGACTTTTCGCTGAGTCAGATGGTCTTTACTTTGTATTCGTGGGGTTCAGCTCTGGCATATTTCAGTATATAACATAATACGAGGAGTTTACCCTTTGTCCATGCGCCCTGAATTTGTTTAAGTTGAAAGTACATACTATCTTGGATTCAATAACTGTCTTGATTCAAAGTGCAGAGTCTTATTGTGTCCCTTGGTCTTGGAAGGATCTGCAGGATTGATTAAAACCAGATTCCCTCATCTCTCTGGACACTTTCCAAAGGAGTTTTATTTCTTGTTTGTGTCTTATGTACGGAACAGGATTAGGGCCACATGTGGAAACATTTTTGCGATCTGACCAAAAGGGTTTTTGTTTTGAGTAGGTATTCCATAGCTGTGCAAATCTATGCTTATTTACTATCTTCTGTTGGTGCATGGACACAGTTTTTACCCTGTGCCTTTTGTAAATCCCATCCCCACCATCAGAATTAACACGAATACATTCATAAGAAAACTGTGTACTTCAATTTTTTTGGTAATAATCGACATATCTTCTTATTAAGAGTTATTTGTGAAGGGCTTATTAGGCGCTCTAGCGATTTCCTCGGAAGTACTTTTCCCCGTACTGGGAGTCCCAGCAGCTTCAACTGAAGCCAGTCCCCAACTCCGGGGACTTCCGGCCGGGGACTTCGGGTGGCAGTATACGCCGTGAAGTGACCTGCCAGTAAACCCAAAGCAGAAGAAGAAAAAGTGACGTCAGCGGCTTCATTTGCCTAATCCTCCCTCAGGGAACTTATTCCGGTGTGAATGCGATCAGTGCTTAGTTTCATGGGGGAACTAATGGCGCGTTTCCACTGCAGGCCTCGCTCGGCCTCGCTCGGTTTGGTTAGGCCTTATTAGGCCCGGCTCACTTTAATGCTGCGCTTCCATTACAGTTTAGGAACTGGGGCAGTTACTATAGTAACGCAGTGTAGGCGGAGCCGTGACGTCATCTTCAATGAGAGCCCCAGAAAAACAACACAGCCGTTAGCTCTTAGCACTCAGAGCTCACAGCTCTTCATATCTGTTCAGAAACTAGACAAAAGTACAAACCACAGACTGCCTGTGTCATGGAGAATACAGTCGCTGGTTTATTTATGTCTGTATAGGCCGTTGTTGTGAGTGTGGACGGTCGGAGCATATATAACGTTAGCTTAGCCAAGCTCCATTTAGAAAACAGGCATTTTAAAAGGGTTTTTCGCCTGCCGTCTGTCTGCAGACTTGTCAAAGCATTAATTCATGGTTTTTACTAAGCGGTATCAGTATGTTGTTACTTCGGCATCATTTTGAAACCTGTATTACAATTAAATCACGGTCAAATATGTTCATCTTGTTGTAGTTGTAGCCCCCTTGCCAGCGATTCTCTCTCTAGTTTAGCATACTCAGCCCGACTCAGCCTGGTTGTTCCTGGCCCTAGAACCACGATTTAGTCGGGCCAGAAAAAAGGTGAAAAAGTAGCCCCGGGCCAAAACTAGGCCAAGTGGAAGCGCTTAAAGCGAGCTACCCGCTGCAGTGGAAACGCGCCATAAGTGCTGGGAACTAAGTACGACAAAGTACTTGGTGTGAAAGCGGCTATTGACTTTTATCCCTAACCCTTTACATTTATCCACCAACTGCCATCAGTTCCTGGACAATCTTCGTCACACCAAAAGCTGTACTTGCCATTTTCTCCTTTCCAATTTTCCACCACAGCAACATCAACAACAAAAACGTTTACAGACATTCGTAGAGAAAAGAAGATTTCATCACAGTTATTACACGTATTGACAGCAAGTACATAAACACACGTGGTCCACTCAAATGTTTCCACCCACTGGAAGTGAACGTCTGCCTGTAAATGTGATCTGGTTCCTCACGGTGTGTTTGTGTTAGTGTCGACTCGCTGTAAATGTATAGCTGCTGGAGCAGAGAGGTTGAGTTTATGACAGCAATAAAGAGATTAACAGCCTTGTAACCTACAAGTGAACCATCTCTAATGCGGTGTAAAGCTCTCAATAACTGCAGGATTGTGGGACACCGCTTCATGATTGGGACTCAGTGAATGATGTACAGCAGGGATTTCTTTCATATCTGCTGGCTTGGGAGGTCATGGATTACATGTAACGGGATTACGTATCAGGATACAAAAAGTAACTTTATTCGCTTACAGTTACATAAAAAAGATTGGATTACTGTTACATTTCTACATTTGGCGATTACCAGCAGGATTACAGTGTTAGTAAAAACCTAAAAACATCATATAGTGTTTGTTGTAAAGCAGTGTTTCTCAAACTTTTTCATACCAAGGACCACTTTACCAATAAAAAAACACTCGCGGACCACCTAACTCCACAAATATCCCAAGGCAAGGCAAGGCAAGTTTATTTATATAGCACTTTTCAACACAAGTCAATTCAAAGTGCAAAACACATCGTTTTTCTAGAACAGATTATAAATCGCCTGAAAATGGTACAAACAAGTGACAACATGTGTGACGAAGGTGTTGCCCTGGGCTTTATCATGCAATAGAAAGTTAAACTTAAGCTTGTTCCATTGCGGAGATATTCCAGCGAGAGTACGGAAAACTTTAATGTATTTATTTATTTCAAATGTGAAATGTTACCAATATACTCACGGACCACTAGGGGGCGGTCACGGACCACCAGTGGTCTGCGGACCACACTTTGAGAAGCACTGAAGGATCAGATGTTATCTCTTCTCTGTCAGCTGTTCTGTTCTGTAGGATAATACATTACGTGTGAATCTATACGTCTACTGCCTGAATCTGCTTTATGGTTTTCACTTTCTTTGCTTCATTTGTTCTGTTTTTAATTCTCTCAACTCAGACGTTATTTCTGCTTTTTTAAACTGTAGTATGTGCTCATGTGTTTCAGTGTTGGTGTATACAACTACTGTTTGAATCTGATAATGAAAGGCAGGTTTTCCTATCAATACAATCGCTAAACAGAGATTTTGAGACTCAGATTAGATTATATATGTTTACAGGTAACTAACGTGCATTATTGCCTGTTCAAGACGTAAAGCTAGATATAGTGTAAATGTGTCGTGTTAAGATGTATGTTAAAGGTGGGGTAGGTGATTCACTTCAGAAACACTTTTTGTTATATTCCATGGAATGCTCTTAACATCCCGATAGCAATGAATAAATTAAATGCTTTGACAATAAATACATCAAAAAAACTTCATCTGTGGAAGCCATGGCGCTGTAAAAAGCACGACCAATCATCTGAGCCGGCCCGGCTAAAGTAACTGGATGGCCTACCTGCCTGTCAGCCTTCCATCTGGGCACAAACTTATCTCGTGCCCTCATTGGTCATGTGTGTGTTGGAGGAGGGGCTATGTGAGGAAGTCTGAAGGAAGGGGCAGATTTATTTCGGTTGTGTATTTTCAAATTCTAGCGCACTCGAGCCGGTTTCTCCATTCTACCTTTAACATCCCCTCTCTCTGTTGTTTCTTCAGGGTGTCCTCACTGTAAAAACTCTGTTCCCCACTTCACCACGGCAGCAGAGCTCTTCAAAGAGGACAGAAAGGTAAGCGGTGCTTTTTTAACATCAACACACTAGGGGTGTAACGGTTCACAAACATTTCGGTTCGGTACGTACCTCGGTTTTTAGGTCACGGTTCGGTTCGGTACGTTTTCGGTACAGCAGAAAAAATTATCACAAAACATAACTTTTTTTTTTTTAAATTATTATTAAACTGTGAATAATGTATTCACTCAAATAAATACAAAATAAAATAAACATTAAGGTGCAGCATTTCGATGAACTGAAATAATCTGTATTTGAACTTTACTGTACTAGTACTCACAAAACATAAACTATTAGTTTTGGGTTTTTAATTATTATTAAACTGAATATTCAATCAAATAAATACAAAATAAAATAAACATTAAGGTGCAGCTTTTCGATGAACTGAAATAATCTGTATTTGAACTGTACTGTACTAGCACCTAAGCAGCCAGTTTGACATTAGGACTTGCTTGTTATTGTATTTTCATGTTGTTTAAAGAAAGATGAACTTGTCCACATTGCTTGCCGAAAGGGCAGATCTGCTGGCACTAACAATGTCTCCTGCTGTGGAGAACACCCTCTCGCTAGGGACAGAGGTAGCAGATACAGCCAGGTAGCGCTTTGCTACCATGGCAACATAAGGATATTTGGCGTTTGTAATAGCTTTGGCTCGGTCTGAACTCTCTGCGAGTGGTGGAGGCTTAAATGCTAGTGGGAGTTGGGTTTGCACTTCAGTCTTTTTACTTTTGGTACCGGTGATATTCACGTTCGGGTGATGTCCTTTTCAATGAGTGTGCAAGTTTGATGTATTGCCAGCCGCGTAGCCAATTTTAGTTGAACAATGCCGACAAACAGCTTTGGTTCGGTCCACCTGTCTTTGCCCGTCATCCTTGTACGTAACTGCGAAACCAAAATGTTCCCAAACCGGAGACTTCAATGATGCTGGAGGATTTTCAGCTCAACTTTATCTGCATTCGCCATTTCCTCAAATTACTGACTACATTTGAACGTATCCCTGTGACCAGCTCTCATAGTATGCCTCTCGTCCAATTAAATGACTTGGTCGCTCTATGACGCGTTGAACCCAATGTGAGCAAATTACTCTGAATGCTGCGACGCAGCACCTGAGATTACTTACCAAGTATAATAATTCCGAATAATTTCGGTACGTGTACCGTTACACCCTTACAACACACACATATACACCCCGTAGTGGTGTGACACTTTAAAATAAAGAAAACAGTTCTCTGTCATGACCCACGGTGAGATGAATATTGATTTCATCTCTGTGTGTGTTCAGTGAAATGCTAGAGCTTAGCTGTGTTTAACTTAGCTTAGCACAAAGACTCTGTGAAGACTGAAAATACACGCGCTCCAATTATTCCATGCTGTCGTACTCGAGTTTCCTCCCTGAAGCACTTCTTTGAGTTAGTTTAGTTATATTCTGCCTTTAACAACCAACACATCACACAGAAGAAAACCAAAGTAAAAGACACATTCAATCCAGCTTGGCATGCAGAAACTAAACACCTCTTAGAAGTAACATGGAAGAAAAGCATATTACACGAACACGGTGCATAAGATTGCACGATAACAGAAAGTTTAATATAACATATTTCCATAGTGGCTCTAGAAGGTCTCAAATGCTTTCAACAACACAGACTGCTGGGCCTCTGCTGCAATACAGACTCACACTGTTTGACAGCCTAACACTATTTTAAAGGGGACCTATCATGCAAAATGCACTTTTTGATGTCTTTTATACATAAATGTGTCCCCGGTGTGTCAGGGAACTCACGCAGCGTCAGAAAATAAAACCCTCTCTCTTTTCCTCCGTACCCAAATCTCTAAAAACGGATGAACAACGGAGCTGATCCAGATTTGCGTCCGATATGACGTAATATCTGAAATGTGGACCCACGGCCCAATCAGAAACGTTGCTATCAGAAACAATGCCAGACTGTTTTGGACGTAATATGGTCGGTGTTTACATTAGCATCGCTAACACTCAGAGCTAACCTGTACTGGAGAGCATGTGTGTGAAGAAGCAGGAAGTAAAAAGGAACTCATCTTGTGGTATAACCGGCAAGAGAGAAATCCTTTGAGCTCCAAACTGTTTCAGAGAGAATCCTTGATAATCCATGATATGGCGTTTCATCACGGCAGCATTTAGTTTAGACGGTAGCTGCCGGGTCCCGCATGAGCTCAGACCCCTCCTTTTTATTTTATCAATTTTATTTATTTTTTAAAAGCTTTATCCCAAATCAGCACTTTTGAAACAGGAAGTGAAATAGAGGGATATGAGGCATGGCTAGAATGGGTGATCTGTTTGGTGTTTTGAGCAAAACACTTCATAGACATGTTTTTTATATATTTTTATCTGAGACCTATGCTGTTGCCTAGAAATAGCATGATAGGTGACCTTTAAATAAGACGTTAGATAGTCATGAAAGATCTCCAATCATATCCTGACTGTTCCTAGAAAGCGCCTTGTTTTCCGTTTCTACTTGTGTTATGTGCACAAAATGCTCTGTGTCAATGAGACAAGGAAAATCAATATGATCCTGTGAGGAGAAAGAAAACAAGAATCGGCATCTCGTGATCATTATCTATAGGGTGTTTTGAATCCTTATTAAATGCAGTCAAATTGGATTGAAATTCCTAAATGTCAGGACCGGTTACAAACAATTATTTTATATAGTTTTCTAGGCACACATGCACTTTTTGTGTCATAGGTTTCAATGAAATTAGCGGTTGAGCTGCTTTATGCATGTCCCCTTTAAACCGGGATGTCTTGCAAACTCCTAACTAAAACGTTTGTCATACAGTTATGAGTTATTTCACCGTAATATTTGAGGTCTCTGACCAAAAAAAATTTTTATTGGATAACTCACAGGCTAGTTTATATTTATTTATTATGCTCTCTGCTCGACTGCTTTAACTAACTTTGTGTTATTGTACCTTGATTCTTCTTTTGGGGATTTCCCTTTCCTGTACTGTGTTATAAAGGTTTTGGGCATGTCATCCGCAAAGGCTAAAATTCCCAAATTCCCTCCATTGAACATAATGAAATCACTATAGCCGCTTTTACACCAAGTACTTTGCCGTACTTCGTGCCGGCACTTAGTTCCCAGCACTTAGTTCCCAGCACTTAGTACCCCCATGGAACTAAGTACAGATCGCCTTCACACCGGAATAAGTTCCTGAGGGAAGATTACGCAAATGAGCCGCTGACGTCACTTCTTCTGCTTCTGCTTTGGGTTTACTGGCAGGCCGCAAACAACTTCACGGCGTATACTGCCACCCGGAGTCCCCGGCCGGAAGTCCCCGGAGCTGGGGACTGGCTTCAGTAGAAGCTGCTGGGACTTCGGGTGGCAGTATACGCCGTGAAGTTGTTTGCGGCCTGCCAGTAAACCCAAAGCAGAAGCAGAAGAAGTGACGTCAGCGGCTCATTTGCGTAATCTTCCCTCAGGGAACTTATTCCGGTGTGAACGCGATCGGCTCTTAGTTCCATGGGGGAACTAATTGCTCGGAACTAAGTACGGCAAAGTACTTGGTGTGAACGCGGCTATTGAAGGAGATAGGCTAAGGGGCGGGATATCTCTAAGCTGGTTGACCAATCACAACAGAGCCTGCCAGCTAACCAATCATAGCAGACTGGGCTCTGGTTTCAGACAGAGGGTGAAAAGAGGTGCTGCAGCACAGGCAGTATGAGAAAAGTAAAGAGCTTTTTGAACATTAAAGCATGGAGACATGTCCCAGGAGAGACAGAAAATACAAAAATGAGGCAGGCAGTATATAAAAGCTGTTGATAGGAGTTTGAACACTTTTCTAAACTCCTCACATTCTCCTCCAGTCTTCTGCACTCCTGGAGCTTCAGGTGATTCCTGGAGCTTCAGGTGATTCCTGAAGACACATTCCTCCATCCTCTTCTCCCTTTCACTTTCTCTGCTGCAGGGCTCAGTGTTTCCAAAACCTCATTACTGTAACTGTGACTCACTCACACAAAGAAAAAAAAAACAGTTGCGTGTCTAGAAATACTTTGAGCTCGGATATATCATCTCAAAGTGACACTTTAAAAAGCACCATCATATTGTTGCTTTTAAGTTTTATTGAATTGCTTAATGCACATTGTTTTCTCACAGAGCTCAGGCAATACTGCTCTCTCATTTGTTTGGAATTCTTCACAATGATTGCCAGATGGTGAGAAACAGTGACGTATTCCCAATAACTTAGTCATCCATTTCTCTGAGGCAATCCTTTGTAACAATTCTTCAAAACAATACACTTTTTTAAATGATTGTACAACTCTGAGCCCTTCAGTTGCAACTTCAGGAACTTCAACATGCCTTTCTTTATTCCATCATTCTTAGAGTACCCATAGAAATAATGACGACTACAGTATGGGACCCACGATAAAGATATGTTCTCTCTACACAGGGAGAAATAACAGTAATTAGATCAACTGTAAAACATGTTTGACTCATTAACTGGGACACAAACAAGCATAAGCTTCCATATGTCCTTAATGGAGTTCCATTTTTTTAAAACTGCCATTAAGAAACACAAGCGTTTAAAGAGGCCCTATTATGCTTTTTGGGGGTTCTCCCTCTCTTGTAGTGTGTTCCATAGGTTTTAGTGCATGTAAATGGTCTGTAGAGGCTAAAATCCCTGTGTTCCCTCGACTGGACTCCTTTGTTTACTTTCATAATAAGTGACATCACTATTTAACACTCACGCTCCTATTAGCTAGCGCTCCAGCAGGAGAGGACTCTTTAAAGTAGAGACACTACATACTGATATACACCTGAACATCAGCAGGAGAGGACTCTTTAAAGTAGAGACACTACATACTGATATACACCTGAACATCAGCAGGAGAGGACTCTTTAAAGTAGAGACACTACATACTGATATACACCTGAACATCAGCAGGGAGAGGACTCTTTAAAGTAGAGACACTACATACTGATATACACCTGAACATCAGCAGGAGAGGACTCTTTAAAGTAGAGACA